TATGATCTATTTGAATATGTATTTAAATTGTTGTACAACATCATCATTAGGAATAGGCGGTATACCTGCATGCAAGTAAAAAACAATACTACTTTTATCAAAATTATTAGTAGGTATTATCATTGATTATAAATATACTAGTATTTATAATCAATGGTATTATGTACCTACCTTATTACTCAGTTTTTTTTTTTTTTTAATAAATAATAAATAAAACGAACAACCAGGTGAACGCTGTTCCTATTACTTATGCCCCCACGAACATAATATTATTACGATAGTGTTCTTTGTAAGTAAAAAAAAAAAAAAAATGAAAGTGAACGACTTCGTAGTTCGCGCATTGGGCGTGGACACGAAAAAATTCGATTCCAAATGAACTTTCCGAAAACTAAGTACATGCCTATACCCATGCGTAAGAAGCCGGGTTCAATTACCCGAAACTCTTACGAAATGTCATCGTTAATCGCGATACAGTCATAAAAATTAATTAAAACGTTTTTGATGGTATTTATAATGGTATATTGCGATAATTACATGTCTCGCCCTCGTTTGGTTTCCCACTCTGCAACGAGGGCTGGGTGCAAGTCCTTTGCATATATTTTAATGTGCACATTAAATTGTGATTTTTTTTTTTTGTTTTCATACCGCATATGGACTTATTACGACGTCACGCCGTTTTCTAATATAATATTTTCGACTAGATGCGTTGACCGACTTTGTCCAGAAAAAAAACCAACTAATATAATATAATGTATATAAAATACGCAGAGCTCCGTGTCGGCATGACCCGCTGGCTCGGTCCGATCACTTTTGCGGACAAGTCATTAGTGTCGGTGTAGGTACCTGGTTTCGCAGACAAATCCGACTGAGATGGGCGACCACCTGTCCGTGCAGGGAGATTGGATACAGCTCGCGGCGTACTTCGGTTCGCAGTATTATGCGATAACTTCATTATTCGATCGGTTTAGGTCGTGTGTCTCCCCCGACGAAATGAATAACAACAATAATGCAAAAAAATGCACATTTCTAACGCGGCCGAGCGAGCGGTGGTTCCGCATGGACATATTTTGTTTTTGAAAAAGTCACCGCGAACACGCGACAGAGAATGGGGTACGGGGTGCAGTGTAAAAACTACGGTAAAAATACACCGTACATCCCGTACAGCATTTTTTACTGCAAGACCTCTCGATTTTCGGGGGGAGGGGGGTTGTACAAGTTGGGTCCATAAAAGTATTTGCTCAAACCCTGCTCCGCATATAAATGCGATGTATAAATTCAAAAAAATAAATGAGTGATTAGAGGATTCTCTGCCTTCCCCGGACACGGCCAACGTTATTAAATAATAATGTGTAACTGGTTTTTGAAAGAAAACTATATTAACATTTTAGGAAATTGTTTTTCACAATAATTTGTACAGTCACATTTTTGTAAAAAAAATTATATTGTAACGGTTATAGTTTTCATGTTTTCACTTTTCCAATCACAATTGACAACTGTGCGTAGGTACACTTTTAATTTTTCAACGTCCAAACAGAATGTTTTCCTGATTATCTCAATATAATATAAAGACATTGAATTCCGACCGAGTTATAGTTACTTTGTTGATTAGTTGTATAATTATTGAAGCTTCAATGAGAGAGGTATGGCGTAATGGTGCCCCGAAAAATGTTAATCCATTACTCCACAACTCACCAAATTTTAAACAGGTTACCCGCCGACTATAGATAATAATATTAACACCTCGTTGGAAAAGCGATTTGCAATTGTTAAAACATCAGAAAAATATTTTTCTCCGGAGTATAAAATTGAAAATGCATACTGTATAGGTGCTGCGATGCAAAATAATAATAAAACCTAAGCGCTGCATAATTTTTTTTTTTTCGAAAATGTTGTATTCTTGTGACTTTAAGTTATGTGAAAAAAAAATATTTCAAAAACTTCAACAGCACTCGACGGTAAAATCAATGTTTACCTCTAAAAAAAGTGCAATAGCTGGTCCTTCAGACTTCGGTTCCGTGAAATATGTACCTGTATACCTATACGGTTATAATATTATGTACTTAAATATTATACAATAGGTACATATCGTAATAATATTATACATCGCGTACCTATAATAAATAGTCGGGTAGTCGATAAAGGACGGCGTGTGCGTGATCACAATTAAGGGAGGTTAATTGGTGGATATTAATTTATAATGAAAAACGGGGCTTACAATAATTACGTCATAGTATACTGTAATACCCGCGTATGTGGTAATATAATTTATGGTATCATTATACAGATAAACTATCATATTTCTAAGCTGACTTCGCCGTGCGTACGTACCGGCATAACCGATAATATTATTTATAATCTACCCCGCTGTCGATGTGTATTGATAAACATGTTTAAACAGGTATAATACTGCACAGATCGACCGTCTGCAGGTGTTGGCAAATTCGTTTTTTTACGCGAAACGTACAATTATTTACGATCGACGGCAACGATTAGCGGTATAGTCGATTGGGCGGCACACGTACTCATATTTATTTTGTTTTATACACAGGTAAAAGTCGCAGCCGGGGTCATAACATTATCCGGAAACCGATGAATAAATGATGAAAAAAAAAAAAATGCTTTACATCATACCTACGTTCCAGTAGGGTCTTTTATTTTTTTTTTTTTTTGTTCATCGCGCCATCACAATCGCGTAATAACATCGATTTGATTTAAAATATTCATTACGAGTCTGCGGACGTGAATTGGACGGTATATTATAATATCCCCGGTCATAGCGGCTGACAGTTTTGACTCTCCGGTCCGCGACGAGTGTCCCGCTCCCGGCGTAGATGACGCTATAACATAATATAATATTATAATAATAATGTATAAACTGTATAAAGATTAGTTTACTAGAACAGACGGTACTTACATCGGCGAGGCGACTCATAATACAATAACGCCAGGACTGCGAATAAAAATTCTGCACGTACATCAACGTTCAATTCGGTGAAATATCCTCTAGACCTCACAAAATGTTTTGAGTAATATTCGAAAACAGCGCCCTTTTGAGTTGGGCAATCAGAATAGATGGGCATAACACGCGATTTAAAAAAAATAACAGTATCTAATAATAATAATAATTAGAAAACACTAATAGTGTTGCAAAGTATCAATAATACTGAGTAAATATACCTCAGTTCTAATTCTGTTTTTATTCCCATTCTTACACGGTTGAACCAGTTGTTTTAAGTAGGTGGTTTGGCGTTCGAAGACGAAAATTCAAATCACAAAACAAATAAATGTAGCCTCGACAAGGTGCGAATATTCTTTGTTCGAAATTATTGGTAGGTAGGTAAAGTATATTTTTAAACCAATTGATAGTCGAGAATTTGTGATAGTGTTTGACGTATTCCTACATAATAATATAGTTCTCGTAAAAAATATTCGTCTCCGCAAGACGTGCATCTATTTGCCACACATATGGACAGGCCACTCATAGGCGCAATTTTGGAGGGGGGCTTAGCAACTTCGATATTAAAATTAGCCCCCCCCAAAAACGTATATTTTAATTGAAGTATTAAATCCTTCATTAATTATCTAATCCATACATATTAGTATATTACAGTAAATGTTTGAAAAAAATTGTTTCTAAAGTTTAAATCTGGAAATACGAAACAAGCCCGTGCAAGGTGCAAGACGCAGAGCTTTATCCTAATAATTTATGTAAACTTTTATCATTATCTTTAACAATTCCAATTAGTTCTGCGATCATAGCAATGAGGAGATTGGCTTCGAACATCTATGAATCAAGGCAGATTTACAAATTTGTCGTTGATTTATGTAGAACGAGATTTATCAAACGAATTGTCCAACGAAAAAATATTAGATAAATTTGCAATTTCTAACCGAAGGTTTCAATTATAATAATATAAGTACTTAATAAATAAATTTAGGTATATTACATTTATTTACCTAAATGTTGTTATTTTTTTCATACAAATATTTTTAGTTTTTATTGATAGCTATATGCATTATAATAATATATTAAATGTATAAGAAAGTAGGCGAGAAGATATGATATCGTCGATATGATAATGTTTTTCTATTTTTATTTATTCTTTTAAACCGTCGGATTCGACTGCCGCACCATGCATATATATATATATATATATATACTCGTATACAGGGACGGCACACTTTTTTCGACCGAGTCCGAGTGAATAACGCACAAACCTCGACGACTGTTTTGACATGCGCACGCCTAAACGTCACGCGTTATACTAAAAAAAAAATTGTCGGTTCGCAGAGTTTACCGACGGACCAGAGGAGCCTGTACCCGTCGAACCTGTCGGCACCGGACGGAGGCGCGTATCCCGTGTGCGTCGTGTCCGGGTGGCCGGTGATGGATTCGAAAAAGAGTCACGCGGTGACGTTCGAAAACGGCAGGATGGCCATCAAGGACGACTGGACGAAGGTGATGACGGTGTCGAAAACCGTCCAGTCGTCGGCGGTGAAACAGACGTTGGAGTTCATCGGCAAATGGTGCGGACCGCCGGTGCAACAGTACTCGTTCCATTGAACGCGCGCGATCTCTTCGGTCGCGTCCGATTTCGTATTTTGGCCCTTGGGGGGGGGGGGGGGGATTCGGATTCAGCCCTCGGCCTCGACACGATCACCTCATACCGAAAAAAAAGTATACCCCGCACGACGAGCACCGAGTCACCAGCTCCGAATAATCTGCCGCCTACATACATGCCTTTCTCGCCACGTTTATTTAAACGTCGTAAAACCAGTCTGAACGGTCATCGCACAAGTACGTTAAATAATAATAATACACTAGTGAGTATTGTTGGTACATCGTAAAAACTTTTTTTTTTTAATGAAAAATGCAATATTAATGATAACATATTATTATACACTTTGAGAACTGTAAAATACATTAAGTTAAAATATATTAGGTATATCATAGAATTAATAAACATATTGAAACCGTGTAATGATTAAAACAATAAGAAAACTATTATCAAATGCCATATTATTTTTGCATAATACAAATTTAACTAATACACATTATAACCAGGGTTTAAGTTTAAAAATTCAAACACATTTTATTGTTACTCAATACACTTAGGAAGAGCGTATGCAATTTTCGACATACTCGACCAGAGCAATAGCGACCAGCTGTTATAGCCGGAGCCAATAGCCAATATAGTCATCAACCCACTGTGAACAAATCGCCCGCCGACGGAAGAGGTGCAAGGCCGCCTTTAACGCTGGGCAATTGTGCTAAATCCGGTAGATTTTGTAGGTGTGTGTTGACCTCTTGTCGCACTTGGCAAACTTTCTGAAGTTTTCCCTGATATTCCTGAAACGCAAAAACAGTACCAATCATTATTGATTATGCGTCCGAATGAATTCCGCCGCCGCCATCATGTTATCATGTTTTTTTGAAGTAAACTTAAAAAATAAATACGTTGTCGCAGGACGAAAGCTCGTAAACAGCATATTCCTGTCGAAAAAAATTCGAACAAACGAAACCGTTACTCCGGAAAGAAGAGTGAATGAACCGACATTCTGCAGGGTCACATCGAAAGGTTTTATTGAGTATAATCGTATATAAAGCCTATATATGCCATTCTTAAAATACACGTTTTTGATAAAATACTACCACTAAAAAGTTTGGTCGTATCGATGATTTATCTGACCGTAGATATTAGTGGCTAGATAGCTTTCAAAAACTTTAATAGTTCTAACGAAAATAATCGAAATTGTATGCATTTTCCTACATTTATCTTAAAAGTAAATATATAATAAGTATATAATATTGGCAGTTATAACTTATAGATACGGTAAAATATATTATGGTAACACATACGGTAACCATATAGTATATAGGTATTGTTGAGTCTATTTAGATTAAACTTAAAACTATAAATTATCCAAATTATGATGACAAGATTATAGCTTGCTACTTCATCACGAAAAAAGGAGAATTAGTTCTATTATTATTATAATTAATCATATTTTTGTATTATGTTATGAAATCAATATTAATTCGATTATAAAATTAAGGAATGGCTATAAGGATTTCAAATTTAAGTGGATTGGTTTTTATTAAGGTTTTATAAGTTTAATACATTTAAAAATAAATAATTTCCACGGTGTCATTTGATTATTCCAATAAAATTATAATTCACAAAGGAGTAACCGATTAAGTGTGAGGAAGAATACTATAAGCATTTCTAACTAGATAATTAGTATAGATATAAAATTGATAATAATTCTAAAATAAATATGATATTGTGTAATCAGAAAAATTGTGTATAGTTTGTTATAGAAGACGTTAATAATTGAAATACTCTTCATATTAATTTGTATATATATATTGTAAAAGTTTATTCTGTAAAAATGAAAAATGATTGTACGCATTTGCTTATGTACCTAGTACTTAAAAATACAACTAATTTTATAAGAGTTTAAGAGTTTTTATTGTTTAATTTATTCTCATTTGCAGAGAGATACCTTGTGTGTATTATAACATTTTTTTATAAGTAAACAGATATCATACAGAATAACTAATCTCGTTTCATTTATTTTAATTTCATCACTATAAGTTTATAATAATGATAAGCTCAGTATATTGGCACATCATTATATTTACCAACTTAAACGCATATTGAATGTTTCATCTTCAGTAAAAAAAAATATAGCGTATCCGTCAATTCCTGTAGGTCGAATTTCAATTCTAGGGGATGTGACACACATTTACAAACAATGAACGACTATTGTAGATACGTGAGTTTATATGGTTGGCCGTGCCGTGACTTATTCGAAACAGCTGAACAACAAAACGTTTGACCGATCGACCGAATAGCGGTCAGAAACGTTTGTATCCTCAATAAAATGTCTGTTATCACGTTCACACAATAGCGCACAACGGGTATGGGGGGGGGGGGGGCACCGAAACTGGAGCGACGAATGATTTAAAGAAATTTCATCCCATCTGTAGATCCCAGGGAGCCCTGACGGTAAAAACGGTCTTTGTATTTTATTGGTTTATTACTATAGTGCCAAAGACTTACTGACTGATAAAATAAAATACAAATATATGTTTGTATTCGAATAAGCACGACCTTTTTCGGACTATATCGCTCTCTGGAAGACCAGAAAAAGATATCACCCAAGACAGTCTCGTCAGATACCCCAGCTGAACGGGGAGGTCCCTGTGTGTTGTTTAAAATGTTAATGTGAGTTTGACGTAAGACTACACTGCGGATGCCACTTTATTCAAGAAACTTCAATTTGTGTGTTTCAAATTTTCATGATAAATACTATATTGTATTGTATATTTGTACATATTATGTAGATTGTAGGTGTAGGGATATGTTAGACTTGTGATTATTTTAACACCTACAGTTGGAGTGAGTAATAGCCAATTATATTTTTATCTAAAATATAATATTTATTGGCTAAGGTCATGAATCAGGTGAGTATAAAAAATATCTTCATTAATAAACTATATATATTTTTAAAAATCCCATCTTATCAGTTACTCTGATGGTAAATTTTAAAAAAATGTGTATATAACTTGCCTGTAATCTTTGTTCAGCTTGATCAATGAGGTCTCTTTGAGATTGAATGAAATCGTGCAACATAGAAAAGACCTTCTTGCGGTCTTCCATTTCACACACCAGTCTAGTGTTATAATCGGTTAACAATGCAACAGCATCATTTACTTTACGCAAAAGTTCTTCACCTTCGTCTTTACCTAAATACCATGAAACAGAAATCAAACATTATTAACAATGTATGTTAATTGCTAAAAATAGTAACATACAATAAAAAAATATATGAAAATGAAGGATTAGAAATTATGTATATTAAGATAACTATAATTTATTCCTACAGTATTTTAAAGTAAAATTCTACAATTATTACAATGGAGACAAAATACTAACTACCATCCATATCGGGAATAAATAAATGGATAAACAATATTCCACAAGGAATTACAAATTTTTAAGGCAGTGGGGTGATACACATTACACTGTACCCTTTTTTTTTCAATAGATACATGTGTATGGAACACCTACAATGTATTTAACATTGCAATTAATAATACATTTTAATTTCAATATTTACACTATGGTAAAATTATTATTAAAATGGTTGGATTACTGAAGGAAATGCTAACACAATATGTAGCACATAGAAATACAATTTTCCTTATCCATTCAAATTTTAACAAACATAATAATTTTCAATAATATATTACAGAAAATAAACAATATACACATTTTTTTTACTTTGATACACATTTTTAGAATTGAACAAGTTAATACAAAATAATAATAACCTTTTATCTGAGAAAGTAAACTGACATCAGCAATTTCTGGAGGAAGTTTAGAAATACGTTCTCGTACAACCGCATCACACGAAGGAGCATTCTCTAAATCCTGTAAATCAAAGTATGTACATTATTATGTAATAAATTAAATATAATAATATTTTTGAGTATATTAAAACAAGTTCCTGTGTAACACGTTAAAATTAACTATAATTATTGCATATTTAACTAAAAACTTTTATTATTTTTTTTTTTTGTCATGGATGTAAATAAACATAATGTAATGGACACATAACTTTTTTTCATAATCAAATTATGAATAATGAACTATAAGAATTTAGTGTATAATAACAGTAATTTAAAATTTAGATGAATGTCTGGTATCAAATACCAATCAACTTTTCTTGCCTTAAGATTTAAATACTTATAAATTAGTTAGCTCAATGTTTAATATTTGTACAACTCAATTTTGATAAAATTATTATGTATCAAAAAAATTAGTTAAACAATTTATGTTAATTTATCAAAAAATAAAAACACATGATATTACAATAACAAAAATAAGATCATTGATAGTACAAGTTCCTATAGAAAATGTTAATAACACAGACAGAAATGATGAACAAAATATTTGTTACATTAAAAAATCTTCCAAATATGTGCATATATTTAACAAGGTTTAAGGCTTAATGTAATTTATGTTAGGGTACATTTTAATTTTAACTTTTCGTCATCAAAAACATGATTTGTAAACAAAATGTATTTTATGTTACAAACAAGTAGGTAATAATTTCTGCTTTTGATTTAAGTATAGTCATGGTTTAAATTAATCCAATTAGTGTCTACTATATACCACCAAATCAGTTTACTTTTATTAGTACATTTATAATCTCAGTGCTTTTGAACAAAGAACATGGATTTTTTAGATCTTATAGAATTTGGTGAATTCAATTAAAAATAAATATTTCATTTTGAAAAAGTTGGAGATGTTGTTTTATAGCTTAGAGAAATACAGTCAGAAGTTATAAAAAAATATTAAAATACAGAAAAATATATTAATTGACGTTTCAAACATTTGATAAAAATGTTTTTGGTCTATAATTATTTTAGTAAATAACTCATCTATGTACATTTAGAGCTTTAATTAATTCTTCTGGTTCAGGAGGATCATTGACAGGAGTCTTGGGAGATAATGTTACATGTAATTCTTTGGTACCATCCACTTCAACAATAACTTCTTTATCTTTTTTTATGCCATTGTTTTGAAATTTTGTCTTTTTTGATTTGTGATTATGAGAATGTTTTACTTTTTTAACAGGTGGTTCATCTGTAGGCTTCTTTGCTGATTCTTTACCTAAACATTTAAAACAATTCAGTTGTTTATAGTTGACTATCAAATATTATTAAAATATTATACCAAAAGCATCCTTGAATTCATCTATTTGGACTTTACTATAAACACCTCTTTCTTCCCATATATTCAACAATCGTGTCAAACTCTGTCTGGTTTTAGAGGAACAGTTCTTCAGAGATATTTGCTTAAATGCTTTGGCCAGTTCTTTGCCAAACTCTTGCCCATATTCAGGACCTTTTTTTTTGCTATTCTGAATAATATCGTTAGCAAGGTACATTAACGTCAATTGTTTGGATTCTAAGCCTAGAACAAATAAGTTTTCATTAAAATTTACAAATATTTTCAAAAAACTAACATGAACAAAAAGACAATTACAAAATGCTTAAGTTAATATTTTTCTTTTTTATGCACATATACTACACAAATAAGAAATATATAAAAAAAACCCATATATGATATGGTATGTTGTGGGTACCTAATGTGTATAGCAACCATTGTTCTTTAATGACCAAACTTGTACAAGGTTTTATTTCCATTTATTGTCAGTATAATATTATGATTTGTGAATGATTTTGTACATTTAAGTGCAGAAACTGGAATATAAATAACTACTTAAAGATCTAGGAATTTTCTACACACTAATAAACACTTGCAAGGCGAAATCCAAAAAAACAAAAAAAAAAATGATTTACTAAAAATGTAAATTGATTAATTATCTACGTTGTACCTACTTAAAATTTTCAAATATTGTGTTTTTAACTTGAATAATAATGTATGGAAATATCAATACCAAACATGCTATATGCAATAGACGATATTTATTTTCAGAAAAAGAAATGTAACAACCTAGAACCACATATTTATGTAGGACATAAGAAATATAAAAATCTGAGAATATATTTATGAAATAGAAAACTACCTACTTCAGTATCTATTTTTTAAGTAATCTTACACCTGACAAATTCATAATATGAATATCAAATACCCGGTTATACGTAAAAAAAATTTTTTTTCAATTCCAAACCTACCTTAAAAACTTAAACATTTCTGAATAATTTTATGAAATAAATTCATGAAAAGGTTTAGTAGAAAATTCTTATACCTAGTTTTAAACTGTAATTTGTATAAAACAAAAAACAATATTATCAACATATTCATTAATAGTGGTACTGTTGGTTTCAAAATCATGTACTTATTCTAAAATATGTATCAAAACAAATTAATAATCACCCTGATAATAACTAGGTTAGTAGCAGTAAGTACTGTACTTACATACAGTAAGTATATACCCTCGTATATACCTAAAATGTTCATGTTTGTAATGCATAATACAATTTAAGAAATTAATAAAAGCTCTTTATTAATCAAAAAATAATGATGGAACGTGATAGTATTTTTTGTAATAAAGTATAAGCGAAATAAGAAATATTTGTTTTTATATATTTTCTATTTAAGTACTTAATATACAATATTTTTTTATTAACAGGTATTACATGATATTATACGTCAATCAACATAAAAAATAGTCCAAAGTATTTTTTTATTTGTAATTGTCGAATATTTTAGACACAGATTTCTCAAAGAAAATGCTGTAACTAAGGTAATGTGTAGAATATATAAAATATATCTATATTTAAGTAGATATATTTATTACAAATATAGCAGACATTTTATATTGTTATTACATAATTTTTGTATAGAAAATATTAAACAGTATGTAGGCATAGGACATCAGAATCCCAATAGCCATAAGCATATAGTATCTCTAACATATTTCATAAACTAAGTAGGAGAATCTCTTTACCTACAATAACAAATGAAGTATTAGGTTGTCACAAAATAAATTAAAGAGACCGTACAATCAATCTAACAATATTTTATTCTACTGATGTTTTTTACCTGCCAATATTTCTTTAGACCAAATCTTGACGACAGTGTGTGCATACTTCCTATGGTGAATTAACCAAAGGGATAGTGTCTGAATACTCTGCTGAGAAGAGTTCAGTTCTTTCAGTCGACTGTTCAGACTTCCTTCGGTGAAACCGGTCATGGTGTAATCCACTTGTTCTTTACATCCGACATCAACAGTGACAGCACAATTATACAGCCAATACCCAACAGTTATCACTGTCAACAATCCACATTTTTTCACGTAACCGACATGTTAAATTGTCATCCTGTTGGGGGAACATAGACTAATATAATATAATACGTTACTGACGAAACGAAGAAATAAATACGTACCCAAGTAAAGTTGGCAATTGGCACCGAGTCTTCTACAACGTAGGTAGGTATGTACCTAACCTACGTTCGCCGAGTACACAGGCAATGGGAAACCCTTGAACAACAACAAAAAAAAAAAACTGTTACGTGTGAGAATTATTACCTACTCGATAATGATGTACTCCGATTAATTATTATTATTTAATGGGCACACGACCGGCGACAATTATCAATAAGCATTTAACAGTTAAACATCAAGCACGCTCCGAGTGTTCAGACAGAAACAACAAAACAACAAATGCCTACCGAGTACCGGACGGCGGACACCAATTATACAGGCATACAGCAAAGCTCAACAACTGACAAAACTATCACATGTTTGATGTTTATACCTATATCACACGATACTGATTGGTCAAGAAAGACAAAAACCGAATACCAACCGCATAACCTCACCGCGAGTTAATAGATCTATGGCGCGACCACGACGGGATAGATTAATTATTTATCGCGTAACCGTGGTTGTAGATAACATTATCTGAATTCTGAAGTCGCTCATTATCAGCTCAACGCACTCGTTATCACGAGACAGGGTTATACAAATTATTTGATAACCCTTTCCCAAACTAAATAAATAAAATAATGTCAATCAGTTACAAATATTTAATATTCTGTTCTGTTAACTCATTTTCATATTGATTTCCTTATTTTTATTTTTCTAACTAAAAATAAAATATTAAAAAAAATTAGCTCATACTAAATTTAATATCATTAAGTGTAAAGGTACCTATTAAGGTATTTACTAAACATTTATTTTTATCGTTTTAAAGTTTCTGTTGGACTTAATTTACTCAAGAAATATACCATTCAAATTCTACTATCAACTTAAAAATTCCATACAGACCTTGTTAATTCAAACCGTTAATGAATGTTTGTTTAAACTTTGTGTTCATAAAAAATAAACAACCTCAAGATGGCATCAAACACATATGATGATTTAAATGTCGATGACTGTGAATTGTACGTTCAACGACATAACATACAACAAATTTTAAAAGACTGCATTGTCCAGCTATGTATTGTAAAACCAGAAAGGCCTTTAACATTTTTTAGACAATACTTTCAAAAATTGGAAATGGTGAGTACACTTTTTTAATTACTACATTATTACTTTATAAATTATGTGTTATAAGTATGCATATTAGTACGTGCAAAATGATTTAAACTCCAACACGTCGATACATAAATATGAATTATTGACATATTTTTTTTTACTTGTGTTTCATTAATAAATACCACATTTTGATGTTATAATATAAATGAGGTATATAAAATATAAAAAGAAGAATAGTTAAAAGTGAATGAAAATGTTTTAACAACACTGTATGCATATCATGGATAGATTGTGTTGAATCTTTAGTCAATAATAGCTGTATTACCTAGTAAATTATTAGTGTTATTTATTAAAATTACACCTTTGACATGCCTGTGTCTTGACGTCTCTGGGGGGGGGGGGGCATTTGATTTTGTAATGTACATTTTTAAGATTTATTCTTACAGTAGCTATTACTTATTTACAAGGTTATATTTATATTTGAGTAGATAGTTCTACTATGTGGAGTATTTCATATAGGTACCTAATCAACTTTTTTAATTGTATAAATATTTGTTAAACTTCCAATAAATACAGTAGGGTTTTGAAAATTGGGTAATAAATTATTATTAGTGATAACTTCATTACGTTTGTTATATTATTTTGTCCATACATAATTTATGTGTACCTGGATAAATAATTATTTTTAAATTTCAATAAGATACAGATTGTTGAATACATTTTCCTAAAGACTTAAGTAACATTTGAAACTGCTATAGATGATTGCAATATGCAATAAAATCAAATTAAATATATGTAGGTACTCGTGGCTTATTAAAAACTGTTCTAGTTTATCAATATTGAATTAATTCAATATTTTTACTAAATTAATGAATTCAAATTATTAATTTATGTATCTTTTTTCATAAACAATGTCGAAATAAAAATGTTTATCGATCATATTAAACAGAAGTGTGTATTGTATGTTCTATACTTACAATTTTATAAAATGCTCTGACTATAGATATATATAAGATTGTATGTACCTACATTACTAACCTTCAAAATCTATTCTCTTCATCTATACATTTATATTACCAGAAAAGATGACTATGTGTAATAAAAAAAAAAAACATCAGTTTAATATGGTTCATATATTTGGTTTGGGGTCTTATAAAATATATTCCATTTAATTATATTAATACTTGTGAAAAAATATATCTTTGAAAAATATGTTTTAAACAAATTTAAATTCACAATATCTTACATTTACAATAGCATTGGTCTAGAAAATACAAAATTATTTTGTGAAATATTTTATAAAATATAGTTTCTATGTACTACTAATTACTATTATAAATTCGTCACAAGTCATTAACATGTCTTAAAATCTAATTTGGATCTTGAACTATAGTTAACATGTAAAAATAATAGTAGTTTTAGTAAAAATATAGTTTAAAATTAAAAATGTATATAATATATAAAATGATGTAACCCATTTGACAATTAATAGTTGTTGGGTGTTTGGTATAATTAAGACCACTATAATTAATGTGGATTTGGTATCATCTTCCTTAGAATAATTATAGTACCAATATAAAAAACAAAACAAAAATGAAGTCATTCAAATGCATAATTAGGGGCTTACAAAAAAAAAAAATACTGACAATAATAATGTAATCATAATCGGACGAAATTAAATCATACAAACTTAATGGAGGCTACTAATCTTAAAATCTAAAAAAGGAATACTAAATTCTAACTTAATTTCTAAATGTACAGAATGAATTTATCATTCTTTATTCATTCAAATTTATAACACATTTTCAAGTAGTGTATAACATAATTTAGACACCATAATAAAATATTAAGTTAAACAAAAACTTAATGTAATACTTGTGTTGTGTCTCCCATTTACTTTGCTTTGTACTATTCAATAAGGTTTATTTTTTGTTAACATGTTAATACTACAATAAAAATAAAATAAACCAAGAGCCAATCATAATTCTATGTTTCTTATACTATAAAAAAAAAACTTTAATAATAATAATAAAATATTAAAATAAACTTAAAATGTTCTACTTTTGTTTATTTGTTCTGGTACATACATAATAGATTATAATAATATGTAATAATTTAACTTTAAAAAAATATATTATCAGGCCATAAAACATTACTCATTTTATTAGGTATTATACCAAAATAAGTAATTTAAAACATAGAATAGTTAGACAACATACATATTTTAACAACCCCAGTCAACTGACATTTAATTAACTAGTACAATAATATAAAAATTTACATTAAGTATAATCCCCTGAATTCAGAACAATATTTTGAATTGGATTTGTATTAAAGTAGTACCCGAAAATTGATTTAAATACAATACTTATTCAATCAATTACATTTACAATCATCAAAATATGTATAAAAAATAATTTATACTCATTCAGATGGCTTTTGGTTGATGTACTCTGGTTTCCATAGCTGATTGCAAAAGAAGTTATTTACTAAATTTATATCATTGCTGATGGCAGTCATCAACTGATCAGATACTTTCTTGCTATCTTCTTTATTAAAAAGTGCCATCAATGGCAAACAACCCTGTGCAAGATCCTTAGCTAAAGATACTTCTATTTGGTTTTCTTCTTTTTCCATCATACGTTTCATGTGCTTTTGACGAGCTTTAATTATCAATAATTCTCTAACAGTTTTTAAACGTTTATCTGATAAGCCAAACAGATTGAGAAATGCTTTTTGACAAACATCTACACAGTTGTAACGACTTAATGACTTTCTTGATGTTTCTGTTGAATCACTTTCTAAAGACTTGTCATTCTCTTCTTTAGAATCCAGAGACGCCACTGAAGATGTTTCATCAAAGTCTGATTCTTCATCTTTGTCAGAATCACAATTTATATCTGTAATATATATTGAGACAAATTACATAAGTTTTTTTAAATTTTACTAGAATACATCGATATGAGTGACTGAGGTACATTTTAACGTTTGATAAATAAAAAACAAAAAACAGGAAATGTCAATTATTTGTTAGAGATAATTTAATTGTACAAGAGCAAGGAATTCAATAAGCACACTGAAAACAAAAGTACCTAGTTTTATACTCTATTCCAAATAAGTCTGGAAAAATGAATGACAAAAACATGTTTGTGACTAGCCAGCAGCCTAATCACAACAAGTAACGATGGGTAGTGATAACTGTAGGCAATAGCAGATCTGCATGCACAATTTTTCCAGACTTAATTGAGTATACAATCGATCTATGAAGTTTTGGTGTTCAATCAATAGACTTTATGGAATAATCTCATTATATGTTGACTATTGATTTACCGATCAAGTTTATACTTGTAAAATTAATAATAGGTAATATTTTCAAATAAATTTATTACACAAATTATATTTATAATTGTAGTTTATTCTATAACAACATTTTTTATATGATATGAATTTAGTTTGTTAGATCTAAGTATTTAGTTTAAACAACCAATTGACTCAATACCTGTCTTATACCTTTAAGTTACCTATTTATTTAAAGATACCAAAATTATTTATAAAATAAATTGTTTTAATAAAACACTGTTGTAAGGCTCACTTGACATAAAATCCTCGGATACGAATGAAGGTATTCTGTACTTGCAATGAATTCTTCTCAACAATTTACCATTGGCTGTGGTCTCTTTACTAAACAAACGATTGGCAACAGGTCGAGCCTCAATAAACTTCTGTAAAAATTTATTTTGTACATCTTCGCTGTCCATTTCTCCAAACATTTTAAACAGCTCATCCTTAGATCGCTGAGGTACACGTTCTGAACATTTTTGGGGGCACTGGCACAGCGTGTCTGAAAATATAAATGCACAATTTATTAACGTTAGAAAGTGAACGTTCCGTGGATTATTGGTACATATTCTTCGATTACTTACCCGGTTGCGTTTTTGTCTCTTTCAGCTTTTTTATGACGTTGGTCTGCTCTGGACTCATGTCTGATGACATCTTTCTCTTATCACCAGTTGCCCCGATCACGTCGTCTGCAATGTTTTTCGGCTCTATCGGATCAGCCATAGTGCTTTCGTATATTGTATATAGGTATATTAAACACCTAATAATTATTAATTATATTGATATTATTGCGCCTACTGCTAATACTACTAAAATGTCCCTTTGCACTTAGTCGGTAGGAATGTCGTTTCGATTTCATAAAAACGAGCCTGGTCCGTAGAGGGTTAGTCGCGCTGTGGATTTAAGTGTTCGTTCGACTGTAATCCCAAAAGTCTGGGAATTGGCGGCAGTGGCAACGATAATTGTGGAAACCATACGAAATCTTAGCGGACGGCGCGAGGAGAAAAAAAACGGAAAGACTCCAAACGTGAACATTCGCCAAATCAGTGTTATTGTTTTCGACAGTGGAAAGGTGGGAAGAAACACATGCCTCACCGAGATACATTGCTGCCAACCATTCTCCCCAACCTCCCCGCCCTTGAGTATTGTGCGTTGACCCAGTGAGACGCGCCCCGCCGCCGCCACCCTAGCAACAATGTTGCAACGTGAGGACGACAAATAATATTATCATCATTCTGGTTATTACTATTATATCGTACAGAGTGATGACTAACCCCCGCGCTTTTTGTCAAAAGATGAACCAAACTAAAAACAATACTGACATTCACTCGATTCGTTTTGTTGTTGTCTCTTCCCCCTTTCCACCCGCCTCACATGGCACATGACGACCCAGACCTACGAGTTTTTCACGGTTCAGTAACACCGTTTCAATGTTAAATAAGTATTTTTTCGTAGTAGTCATCATAATGTACATCGCGCGAAGACCTGCACCAATAATAAAATGTGTACATACTAAAATCGTCGTTCGCGTGCGCCATACGATCGTGTATCGTTTACTACGATACGCGTTCATTCGAGTAAATAAACGACCGTATCCGACCACAAAAAACTACCCCTAATGTTATAGCACTCCAACTATATTATACAGGGGTCTCATTGTTTCGGGTTTCTCCCTCTGCCAGCATGGTATGGTATTGGAAATAGGAAAACCATAATTTTTTAGGTTATCTGCGAGTTCACAACTTAATTTTACTGCGCATTTGGGTATAAACGCCTCAGTGTTCACTGTTCAATATCGAAACTGAATCGTCGTGTGCTTACTTGTTCCCAGCACGCATGCGCGAGGGTATTCTTTTTTTTGTGTAATGCAAATATTTGAACTTTGATGTAGGTAATCAAATTGTCAAACTACGACTATTCAATGTTCGTTATAATAATTAATCAATTGTTATAACTCAATATCGCAGAACTTCGCAAGACGTTATGTAATTTTTTTGCTAGACGTTTATGTTTTAATTGAAGGCATTAGATCAGCCACGTCCAATTACATTCAGCCGCGGACACTATTGAATAGTTCAAAATTCTAATTCGATTTCGATACTGCGATAGGCCTCGAGTCGATAGGCCCTCGGCCATTCTATTGTCTCTGAATTAAATTTATTTTAATTATGTTAATTGAATTAGTAATTTTTCGATGTCGATGAATGTTTGTTTGGATAGCATTTTAATTATTTCAAATTTCAAATTTTGATCTCAAATAATAATAAATCACTCGATTATTTGTTAATTATTTTGGTGAAAACCCCATCGAATAGCCAATAGTTACAACAGGATGTAAACATGTCGATAGATCTTCTTATCAGTAACATTCCTCGTGCATATCTGTGAAGAATAATTGTTATAACTTATTGTGTGCGCGTGATCTGTCGCAGATTTAGTATTTCATCTAATCACTATTCACTTCCAGTTTCGGTGAACGTTTACGAGTTACGACTAACTGTTAGAAAACTAAAAATGAACGATTACTTATATAGTTCTATAATGTGAAATAATTAGGAATCAGTTAGATCGAATCCCGATTTTATAGATTTTTGAGGATAAAAAGAAATCGAAATCTAACCAATGAAATCTTCATCAAATAACGAGGAATCTGGTTAAATCAAATAAAAATCGATTATCGAATTTAATACTAACCGGGATGGGTAGTAAATATCAATCCTGAAATTAATCTGAATCGATAAAATTAATTTTGATTATCGCCTCCTCGAAAAGAATTGGAACCGAAAACTATTTTGTAATTATTGGTAATCACTAATCGATAATAATTGTTTTAGAAAGGAGAATCAGTGAATAAAATGATAACAATTAATAATTGAAAATAATAAAATATCGATGAATGGAAACTGTTCAATTAAAAATACCAATTGGTATAATTAAATAAATTAAAGTATATAAAAATATAATATACCAATCCCGATTATGGATACCGAATCATTCAATTCTACACTGGTACGAAATAAGAATTGGTAAATACTATCGAATCGCCCATAGTAATTATATTATATTATAATTTGTACTGTTTACGATTTAAATATTAAGCAATGACCCTCTTATAATTAAGTTTGTCAAAAAAAGTACCAACATTGTTAACGTATCTGGGTATAAACATATGCACCCGGTTCAGAAAACTTCAGTTTAGATCAACCAGAAATAGATATGTTTATATCTAGTTGTATAATATATGTGTTCAGTGTGCTTTTTGAAACTAGTGATTCTGAATTCTTACAGAAATAGGTATAGGTAGTACCTACTTATTTATTCTAGTAAATAATATTTACCAATATACGTAGGTGATTACTGATTATACTATGATTATATGTATAATAATACATAATTTTACTGTATTTTGCACCACCTACGACGATGTAGTAACTAATACTTTATCAAATTATAACACTGCATTATATTATTATAGCAAAAACGAACAAAGTCAAGGATTGCTTTAAAATAATTAGTAGGTAGATATAATAATATGTTAAACAAAAACGGTACGTAACATAAACTATTTGTCACATATAAGTCGCACAATTATAACAGATAGCTGTAGTATACTATAAGGTATTTTGAACCTATGTATTTTTAAATAGCTAATACCCTATTAAAGCCATTGCAGACAAATTATTTTTCTATTTAACTTTATGTATAAAAATGTAGTGTAAATACTTTCAAATTTGATGGAAAACACGCACTATGACTAGCTGAATAGTTCAATATAGAGTATATGTTATTTTAATAATCGATTATAATGGCAATTAGAGTATTAGCTAAAATAAGTTATAATTAATATTTACTAAAAAGTCGGTAAAGGTGCGTTATGTGCAGTAGACTTTGAACAGCCCGGCCGCCGTTGCACTGTGCGTCCATAAACGCCCACTATGTCCAGACAAATAGTTGCGTCCATATTTATATAAAAAATCGGGACAAACGATTTTGGCTGAGTTCTAAAAAATAATTGGATAATTTGTATAGATAGGTCTTTGTAAAGATGTTTTGAAGATAATGTTAGCGTGTTAGAATAAATAAGGCGTGTTGTTGGAACGAGTGACAGTACAGTTGTAGTTGGTAGAGTACAGGTTTTATAATCATCGTATAATACGCCAATACGACAATGTCTCATTGTTATTGCTAAACTTTGGTTTCAATAATATCATTAAAATCATACATATAATATAATATCAATTTGAATCTGAAAAATATTGCTTTATAATTTATTTAGTACCTATACCGTTTTTTTCTTTTACTCACATAATATAAAAATAACGAGACAAAAAGCGTCCCGTTTGAAGTTTGTTGGAACAAGTGGTCACGGAATCATTCTCATCTAGAGTCTACAGAAATAATGCACCTAAAGACAAACCGTATACTTTGCTTACTTTAATTAATTTAACAATTAACACAAAATATAAATATAAATATCTATATGCATTTAGAAAAATAAGTTATTTTAACGTGTTTTTTATGGCATGACCGACAGTCACACAATAAATAACATACTTTATGAAATTTTTCAATATATCATTTAGATAATGGCTTTAAATTGTATTATTTGAAAAAGGTGCATCATTTCATAAAAAAAATTATATTTTACTCTACGATCAATTTAAACCTAAATCTTGTTTTATATAATAATAAATTCTACTTTAAGGAATTATATTTAAAAAAAAAATATTGCTAGCATAAAATGTTCTTGCCCTCTTTTCATTTACATCATTGTTCGATTAATAATAGGTATTGACGCGAATACTCCATTTTACACACCATTCACGTTGTATCTATCAGCATTTTTTCAAGTGTCTATATACCGATTTATTATATTAATATCTATAATATCTACTAGTAATGTTTTCCATAAAAATTATTTATTTAGTAACATTTTTGTCGTTATTAATTATATTATGGATTATTCAAAATAAAATATATTACAATTTTTTATGATTATTCCAATTTATAAACATCAGTATTCATATAGTATCATCTATATCATGTGATATAGTTTGTTTATAAAGTAAAAATATTTTAATGAAGTTAGCTACGATCCACGGTAATCTTTATTAAACATCAAATACATATTTAAAATCTAATGTATAGGTAATTCGAAATAAATAATAATTACCCTAATCGCCACTATTAAATTATCGTTGAATTGTATTGCCGACGATTTAATATCAATTGAATTAGTTCATACTTCATAAATATAACCAATATAAATAAACCAAACTTAAACATAGCATTTCAATTTATCATTTCAATTTTAGCTATAATTTTTCTAAATAATTATGAATTATAAATGTGTTACACATATAATAATCTAATACCGTTCTGATGTCTGATGTTTAAGTATACAGTAGTCAGTGCCGCAACTAGGATTCTTGGGGCCCCGGACAAAGTCAATATATGGGGCCCCCCGGGGTCTATGTATATAATATTTTTTATAAGTTACTTATAAAAGTATAAATAATAATGGTGATTTTTTTTAAAAGCCTAAAAATATAATGTGAAGGCCCACTATACCCAGTGACCAGTGTATTATTATTAAAATATAATTTTACACACTTTTAGTGTTCTTTTTTTATTATAAATATTAATTAAAGCTTTTGTAATAATGTATGGTTCTAAAAAAAATATTGCATAGCAAAAAGATTGTTTGCACCTATATTATATTTAAACATTTAATTGTATAAAAAAAATCTTTACCAAATTTAAAATGATAAAAAATGTAGGTATCATAAACATGTACAAATAATAATAATTAATACGATATCAATTTATTATACTTATTACTTGATATAAGACATTAATTCAACAAATTTCATAATATATGGTATCTACTAGGTACTTATTTATATAGAAAAAAATAATTACAAACAATATGGAATGCATTTGTATAACTTAGTTCAAGTCATTGTAAATGTGTCATAAATCATAATACTTATAATAATATGTGCTATAGAAATAGAATCATTCAAATTAAGCACGGAAATTCATTTTTCTTGCTTTTAAATTAGC